GCTCCATTAGACCCAACACTTTTTGCATACAGGGGCTTACAGTGAAAAACTATGCAAATACGACAATGAGAGCTGGGGAATCCACCCTCGTCCTTTTGCAAAACATTATTTTCCTAATGTCAAAGATGACATTACTAACGAGGAAGCAGTTTGAAATGCTCAAATATCATGGGTGGTACAGTAAGAGAGAAAAAAAAACTGCCCCGTAGCTTTTCTAGAGCATGTTCGAATTTCGTAATGTGCATGTGAAGTATCGTGGTGGCAGAAGGGGCAATGGCGGTAAGACACGTCGGTAGGTCGGTTCATTCGTTGGAAGTCTTTGTGGTGAGATCAAACACTCTGACTCGAACATAGGCGGCCTCGGAAAGCCAGCTTATAGAGGGTTGGCCAAAAAAAGAGACACTTCACTCCACATTTCAGACAGCATTAATCACACTTTGCTAAACTCAAACCGACTGCCCCAACTTAATATTGAAGAGCACATCCCATCTATCAAAAACGTTATAATAGCTTTCTGCACCAAGGACATCACAAGAATTTGCCATGGGAACCTTGAGCTCAACTGGTCCTCGACGGATCATGGACCATTACGACGTTATCTGAAACGCTGGTCGGAAGGGGTCTTGCATATTCAGAGCTACTGTCCTAGGAAGCAATCTGTCAGTGAACCGATCAAGAAATTTTCGTAGCAGCTTCAGGCTGGAACGATTACGGTAGGCCTTCTTGAGCTCAACGGTGATGGAAGATGACGTCATATTTTGAAGACGGTGAGGGCAGTGAAGGAGGGCCTGCTTCTGCTTATGGGGAACATCTAAGGAATATTTTGCCGTAAAACTTTCATTAACATCGGCACCCTGTGCGACGAAAAGTTTGATGATGTGCGCCATGGGCAAAGTGTCTCTTTTTTGTTGGCTATCCCTGTATTATAGTACGCTTAAAAACATGAAGTGACGCTGAACTGCAGAGTAGCCGCCGAGAAGACCAATCAGCCTCGAGTATTTGCTCTTTTTCATTACACTTATACTTAGAGCACGAGCA